AGAAGAATTAGGAGGGACATGATAATTGTCTTCCTACTACTACCTCTGTTGGAGGGGCTGTCACAGAGAAGGGATCAACCAAAACACAGGTCAAGAGGACAGGTCAAGAAATAATGGGTGGAAGCTTGTTAAAGAGAGATCCAACCTAGAAGTAAGGAGACATTTTCTGACAATGACAACAATTATTCAGTGGAATAACTTGTCTCCCAGAGTCGCGAGTGATGCATCACTTGAAGGCTTTCAAAAATAGACTGGACAACCATTTGACTGGAATAATATAAGATCTCCTGCCTTGAACAGTGGGTTGGACACTAGAAGACCTCCAAGGTCCCTTCCAACATGATTCTATTGTATGTTCTATGTAATAATCTTGGCAATGTTTGGCAACTGGCATGTATTTATGATGGCTGCAGTGTCCTGAGGTCAGAGGCTCATCGTTTGCGACCTTCTGTCTCAGGTGTGGCTTAGTGAAATAAGGACAGAGTCCTGATATTTGCCTGATAAGCTTTTACACGTTTATTCAGTTAAATAAAGACCAATCCCTTCACTCAGAAGGGAACCCTGGACAGACAATGAGGCAAATACATAGACATGCTGGCACTCTATAAATAAGATAAAGAAATACAGAAATAACTGGGTACACCCGTATGGTCTTGGATGGTTCCTCAGGGACATTGGGTGTTTTTCCCTGGGGACTTCCCATGACCTTGAAGGCCTGCTGAGGTAACGGTGCCATCTGCCCGTATGTTCCCTCAAAGCTATCACAGGAATTATTAGATTTCTGATCAACATAATAAGCAAAGTCAATGGGGAAGCCAGATTTAACCTAACAGCCCTGTTACTAATTTAACAACTGCAGCCATTCACTTAACAACTGTGTCAAGGAAGGTTGTAAAATAGGGCAAAGGCCACTTAATAATAATAATAAAGTTGGAAGGGACCTTGGAGGTCATCGAGTCCAACCCCTGCTCAGGCAGGAAACCCTACACCATTTCAGACAAATGGCTGCCCAGTTTCTTCTTAAAAACTTCCAGTGTTGGAGCATTCACCGCTTCTGGAGGCAGGTTGTTCCACTGGTTAATTGCCTAATTGTCAGGAAGTTTCTCCTCAGTTCTAGGTTGCTTCTCTCCTTGATTAGTTTCCATCTGTTGCTTCTTGTCCTGCCTTCAGGTGCTTTGGAGAATACCTTGATTCCCTCTTCTTTGTGGCAGCCCCTGAGATATTGGAACACTGCTATCATGTGTCCCCCCCCCAGTCCTTCTCTTCATTAAACTACTAGACATTTCCAATTCCAGCAACAGTTCTTATATATTTTAGTCTCCAGTCCCCTAATCATCTTTGTTGCTCTTCTATGGACTCTTTCTAGAGTCTCAACATCTTTTTTACATCGCGATGACCAAAACTGGATGCAGTATTCCAAGTGTGGCCTTACCAAGGCATTGTAAAGTGGTATTAATACTTCACGTGATCTTGATTCTATCCCTCTGTTAATGCAGCCTAGCACCGTGTTGGCTTTTTTGGCAGCTGCAGCACATGGCTGGCTCATATTTAAGTGATTGTCCACTAGGACTCCGAGGTCCCTCTCACAGTTACTACTATTGAGTAAGGTACCTTAACGAATGTTTCACTTTAGCAACAGAAATGTTGGGCTCAGTTGTGATTGTAAGTCAAGGACTACCTGTAGTCTGACAGTTTTAGTCACTGTGGGAATCACACCAGTTCATTCATTATTTTAGGTGCATCATAAAACAAGAACCCCTGTTTTAAGCAGGAGTGGAATTTATCCCATCTACATATATTTCAACTTAGCCCATCTGGCACTTGGTTCTGTATAGTTTTAGGAGGAAAAATAAAAACACTTGGAGAACAACACAAAGCTTGGTATTTTTTTTTTCTATTCAGCCACACACCACTTTCACAGCAGAAAACCTGCTCTGATTAAGTTATTTCCCAATAGGTAGATAAGAGGTTGAAAAGAGGCATGCACAAGCAGTGAAGTTTAGACCAGCTTATCGATCTAACTACCAATATCTCCCCATCACCCCTGCCCACTGCACCCCGCCAGGGATGAAAAGCCACTAAAACGATATGTTGAAGAATTTTGGAAGAAAAATGCAGAGTAATTATATTGCAATATTTTTATTAAGTTAAAAATTCCATAGGAAACTGAAGGCATGGAATGAACACAGGGAGATTTTTACATGGAGCCAGTCCCTATGGAAAGTTAGTAATGAGTTAAGTGGCACACTTTTTAATGCAGCCCATGTGTACATTGCATTAAAGCTGCCCACAATAAAATCCACTTCAATATAAATTCAGGTAATGCATACAAACATCCATAAACATCCATAAGACGAATAGGTTAAATTATTCTTTTACAACTGTTTAGGCTGAGAGCCAATGCAGATGCAATTGTAGCAGTACCTTCAATCTGAAGATACGCCTGCTCAGTCAGATATTGGGGTTAAGAATACGGTTCTACACTTATTTACTTACAGTAAATAGTTGAAATGTACTGTCAGAGCAGTGTTTTTGTTCCATAAACTTAAACATCCACGGGAATTCCTTTCCTTCGATTTGTTGTTGATTGCCTCTTTAAAAGGGCATTGTTTTAAACTCTGCAGTCTTTCATTGTCTCCAGCTGTTCTTCACTGGAGCTTTCCATTGTATTGCTCTCTATCTTCAAAACCGACACATTGCATTATTATTGTGCTTTAAAAAAATTTTTAAGACCTTTGGCAAACACTCTTTGGAACTTAGTTTCCTACAGTGCCACTGCTTAGATTAGGATCCTGAGTACGCCTTTGTCCTAGTGCACAGGTCGGCAACCTGCGGCTCCATAGCCACATGCGGCTCTTTGAGCCTTCCCCTGTGGCTCCCAGCCTCCTCTGCCTTTGCAGAGAGAGACAGAGACAGAGAGAGGCAATTGTGCTTCCCTGCTTCTCTCTCTCTCTCTCTCTCTCTCTCTCTCTCTCTCTCTGTGTGTGGCTGACTCAGGAATTCTGGGAATTGAAGTCCATGAGTCATAAAAGAGACGAGGTTTTCTACCCTTGAGCTTGTTGGACAACAGCTTGAAGCTTGCCAGGTGAGCAGCAGATAGGAGAGGGGGAGAAAGAGAGAAAGAGAGAGGGAGGGAGAGAGAGAGAGGGAGGGAGAGAGAGAGTCTGTGTGGGGGGGAAAGAGGAGTGGTAGACCAAGGGCAGATAGAGAGGGAGGGAGGGAGACAGAGAGAGAGAGAGACCCTTTTGACATCTAAAATGAAGATAACACTGCATATATCCTTTTTTTAACTGTGTGTATGTAATTTTATTCTCTTAAAGCATTCTCTTGGTGATCATTGTTTTAATAGTATGGATATTCCCAAGAGTCATATTTTTACTTTTATTTTTAATGTGTGTGTGTGTGTGTGTGTGTGTTGTGTGTGTATACACACACACACACACACACACACACACACCTATAATAAAGGTAAAAAAGGATATATGCAGTGTTATCTTCATTTTAGATATCAAAAGGGTTTTGCGGCTCCCGGTGTTTTGTTTTTGGTGGGAAAGGGGTCCAAGTGGCTCTTTGAGTGTTTTGGGTTGCCTACCCCTGTCCTAGTGAATTTGCTTCCTTAATTTTTTTTCTTTTTTTTTCATAATAGAAACAAAAATACCTAGTGCCACAACTCTATTCCAACCCCTTGAGTAAGTGCTGCTGAAGTGAAGGCATTCTATTGGTACAATGTGCTGAATCAGCCACCTTGAAGTAACAAGTTCCTACACAGTAGGGGAAAAAACAATCTACTGTTGAGGGACATGTGAAACATCTGGTCCCATCAATTACAGCAATTGGGGAAGAAACAAGGAAAATACCTTTGTACCCAGGGGAAAACATAGCAACAAACTTGGATAGTTGCTAGGAAGGCCAGATAAGGGTAGCTGAACATGATGGTAGGGTTGAATGAAGTTACATACTCTTCAGGACAATGGCCACCCAATGGCATTGATGTGGAAAATCTGCATCCACTTTGGGAAAAACAGTGCTTCTGTTGCTCTTACAAAAAGCACATCATAGACTTTACAAATACTTTACAAATGTATTCTGTCTGCCTTGTCATTTGGGTGGGCTACAGATTATAGTATCACCGAGTGTCATCCTTCGGCATATTGGCGAAGATTCCCAGCACAGTTCAAGAGACAAAGCATGGACCTTTTGGGTGTGTCTGGCAGTTCTGAATCTTGTAAATGCACCCAAAGCAGTTCTGAATCTTGTAAATGCACCGGCAAAACCAAAAGGGGGAGAGAAACCAGAATTGGCATTCTCTGCAAGTAAGACGAATAGATTAAAATTATTCTTTTACAACTGTTTAGGCTGAGAGCCAATGCAGATGCAATTGTAGCAGTACCTTCAATCTGAAGATACGCCCGCTCAGTCAGATATTGGGGTTAAGAATACGGCTCCACACCTATTTACTTGCAGTAAATAGTTGAAATGTACCGTCAGAGCAGTGTTTCTCAACCTTGGCGGCTTGAAGATGTGTGGACTTCAACTCCCAGAATTCCCTAGCCAAGCAATGACTGGCTGGGGAATTCTGGGAACTGAAGTCCACACTTCTTCAAGTTCTCAAGGTTGAGAAGCCCTGGTTCAGAGGGTGTCTAGAGATGCTTGCTTGAAAGGTCTTGCTTGAAAATTGGAGCTCATCCTCCTTTTACATGACTAAAGCAGTCAGGCTTAAAAATACTGGCCGCTGATCATGTTTTCAGCTATAAGCATCACTGTTATAGCAATATACATTTTTTAACTCGTTTGGTGCAGTGAAATTTGTATACTCCAAAATTCTGATGTCTAGTAAAAAGTAACCTCAAGTTCACAGACCAATCAGGAAAAAGAATATGGATAACAGATCAAGAAAACATAACTTGAAAGTTATGCTTTTTACTTTAAGGACTGCAGAGTCATTGGTTAAAACTACAGAGTTAGCACAGCTCCCGTTGTTTTTTTGCAGTCCAGAAAAACTGGAGGCCTTGAATGCACAAAATTCAGCAACCAAAGCGAAGAATAACATGGCAACAATCCTTTCCACAACTTTTAGGAAAAGAATTGTGTTGCTTTCTTCCTCCCCTTCTCCCTGCCTCCAGCTAGGTCTTCCAAAGGTGGAATGCCTCAGAGAAAGAGGTTCAAGAAGGAATCAAAGACTTTAGCAAAGAATATAAATCCCAGGCAGGATAAGGTGAAGTTGTATGACATATCTTGTATGTTAATGCCGTATGATGTATGAATACTGTGTACAGATGAACGAAAAACACAAAAGGTCTGTAATACAGACTCCAAAACAGCCTATCAATGCATAATGCAGAGGAAGACTTCCTATTTTATTGAATCTTTCACATCATAAGATTGTGTGTATCTGCTCTTCTGCTCGCTTTGGATTATGAAATTTCATGGGAACAAAGACAATAACAGCCTATGACAATTTCAGGGTATACTATTATGGCCAAAAGCAAGCAAAACAGAAGATATAGTCCTTTTCTTCTTATTCAGGTCTTTAGCAAATTGAGAGTGAGAAAGGTTTAGAAAGAATAGGTCGCCCCAAGACATGAATGGATTCAAACTGTTAAGACCAGACTTCGTCATTTTTAGAATATACTCCTTGAAATTTCTAAGATCAAATCATGGCTATTATTAAGTTTAATTGTTTTCAACTGGTTTACTATGAACAGGAGTTTTTATGGCACCTTCATATTATCAAAACTTGTATTCTTTAAAAAAAACAGTTTAAAGCATAAAGGATACATACGTATGATTTCCATAGAAAGTAAAATTCTACAGATATATCTCATTTGCAACCAAACAGTGCTTACATACAAATATAGAAGTGCTCTATGTAGTTAGAAATAAATAGAAAAATACAGCTTTCTGTGGAACTGTAATATTACTCTTATGCATGCTGGGGGGGAACTGTCCTTTGATAATCCACAATTGTGGCTTGACTCTGTTACCAAGAGCCAAGCTATTTTTTTGCCTCTCCAAAACTGCATCATTCTTGTTCCTTCACATCATGTAAACCATCTGCATAACCGAGACCTAAGTCTGAAGACATATTTCTTTGCAGACATTAGGAGAAATTACTAATATGATGAGTTTATCTTACTCTACCAAGATAAACCATGGAGGCTGTTAATTCAGGGACATCAGGTCTAATCTCACGGAGGAAAAACTGCAGTGATGGAATGGGCTCAAATCCTTGTCTACTTGGGGAATAGAATCCACTGGAAAGCTTTTCTACTTGTATACCAAGTAGATACATAAAATTCAAAACATAAAAGATTTACACAATACACACACACACACAGAGAGAGAGAGACGATATCCAGATTTTTGCATAAACCTTGTTAATCTCCGAAGTTACGCGGAGAGGATCTCAAAAGACTGGCTTAACTTTAAATAAAGAAGTTGGAAGGGATTATTCTCTCAATGTGAGATGTCCAAACATGATATCAAGAAGTGTTTTTGATTTCTGGTCCCTTCTGCAAATAAATACACAGCAGTCCATGATGCTTGAACGGAAGAGAAGAAAAATCTTGAATAAGTTGTATCCTCCAAAGGAGCAGATTTCATTGGGGGGTGAGGGGGGGGGAAATCCCTCTTCCAACCATTTTCTCTTTTAAAACCTGTCCATCTGGAATCTCTTTGGTTTGCAAACACGCATCTATTACGAAATTCAACAGGCCCACAATCTTCTGACATTAATTGGCATCCTTGGCCAAGTGGGAAGCGTTGAAGAAGGTTGCTGAACCAACCGTACCATTCTCAAAAAACAAAGTTGTGGGGCAGATAATCTCTTTAACACTTACATATGTGCCAGCTATGAAACCGATCACGCCAAGGGAGGCTATGGAAATGTCTTTGAAGATCACCCATACACTTAGCTTCTCCTTGTAAAAGGTGAGGATTTCAATCAACGGGGGCATGATCAAAGCCAAAGTGCTACTGCTTACGGCTCCAACGAGCGAGATCACGATGTCTAGACGAGGGATGGATATTGCTATAGCACCTGGAAAAAGAGAGAGAGAAAGAAAGAGAGAGTCCAGAAGGGAAAATTCATTATTGCTTAGGAAATATGGTATCTGTGACAGCAATAAGAACACTCTATATACAAAAATGGAAGGCTACCATGATTCCCACCATAGACGAACGGCTGCAAAAATTGGTGGGGTTAGCAGAGATGATTACATTGACTGCCTGGATTAAAGAAAAGAATTAATTATATTTAAAATCAAACAGAATTTAAATAATGTTATATACTCATTTTATTTCTGCTTGAAAACCAGCTTTTGGACTTGGTGCCTGAGGTGGAAAAAAAATTGAAACTTTGGTTTTGAATTTTGCTAATTGTTCTTATAGAAACAGCTAGTATATATTATTATGTAAAAGTAAAAAAATTGAGGTTGTACGTTATAAGCTTATTCTCCTGCAACAAAAAGAGTCAGAAGTCGATGCTGGTATAGGGACTCCTGCTTGAGCAGGGGGTTGGACTAGAAGACCTCCAAGGTCCCTTCCAACTCTGTTATTCTGTTATTCTTTTTTTCCTTTTTCCCTACGCTTTTTTCTCTTCCTCTTCCCCTTCCCTATTTTCCTACGATTCTCATTTTTCTTTGCATTTTTGCATTTTTTATTTTGATAAACTAATACAAATTTGTGAAAAGGAAGAAATAAGAGAAATAGGCATCTCTTGAATGCGTTTTGACATCCCAGGCTGGAGATATTTGAAGATCTGAAAGAGAAGAGCCAATTTCGTGTTTAGAGGTGGACACACCTCTCCCTTCAATAGCTAAAACCAAATTAATCTCTACAAAGGAAAGTGAGACCATGCCAAATCTTAAGTAGCAGAGGAATATGCCAGGCACCGAAGGCAAAAACATTTAATGCAATCTTCCTGGACCTCTTCACCCTGCTGACCTGGAAGTTGTAGTTCCCTAACTTTAAAAATTAAACAATCGTATTCTAGAACTAATCCTAATAAGAAAAGGAATCAAAGCATTACAGGTAGTCCTCAATTTACAACAGTTCATTTGTTGTTGTTGTTAATTGCGAAGTCGTGTCTGACCCATCGTGACCCCATGGACAGCGTTCCTCCAGGCCTTCCTGTCCTCTACCATCTTCTGGAGTCCATTTAAGTTCACACCTACTGCTTCAGTGACTCCATCCAGCCATCTCATTCTCTGTCGTCCCCTTCTTCTATTGCCCTCAATCTTTCCCAGCATGAGGCTCTTCTCCAGTGAGTCCTTCCTTCTCATTAGGTGGCCAAAGTATTTGAGTTTCAACTTCAGGATCTGGCCTTCTAAAGAGCAGTCAGGGTTGATCTCTTCTAGGACTGACCGGTTTGATCACCTTGCAGTCCAGGGGACTCGCAGGAGTCTTCTCCAGCACCATAGTTCAAAGGCCTCAATTCTTTTGTACTTTAACAACCATATTAGTAATTTAATAACGGCAGCCATTCACTTAACAATTGTAGCACTTTCGATGCTGTTGGAACCCCAGAAACATTAAAGGCTGGGGTGAACAGTAGAATTAAGTATAGGCATTCAAAATTCTGAACTATTAAATTTGATCATGCTCCTTTTTCAAGTTATTCAAACTTCATTTAAGCTGTGAGATACTTACCTTTGCCCATCGAAGATGAGACAAAATGTTAAATCAATAGGCCAACACAACAAAAGCTTCAAGGACTCACAATTAAAGGTAGCTCCAATCTACTGAATGCAGTTGAAGCACCTAAACCACGGGTCAGCCTTCTCCTGTAGCTCCCAGCCTCCTCCGCCATTTGCAGAGAGAGAGAGAGAGACAGAGAGAGGCACTTGCACTTCCCTTCTCTCTCTCTCTCTCTCTCTCTCTCTCTCTCTCTCTCTCTCTCTCTCTCTCTGTGTGTGTGTGTGTGTGTGTAAAAGAGAATGGCCTCACATTCTCTGATGAGCTGATAAACTTATTAGGCGGGGCTCCTCTCTTTGCGGCATCTCTGCAGGAAGCAGGAAGGGCAAGAGAGAGCCAGACCAATAAGAATGTGTGTCAGCTTGTTGGGGAAGAGCCTAAAACCATCTTGCCAGGTGAGCAGATGATCAGAGAGAGGGAGGGGGGAGAGAAAGAGAGAGAGAAGGAGAGGAAAGAGAGAGAAAGAGAGAAAGGGGGAGAGAGAGGGAGAAAAAGAGGAAGAGAGAGAGAGAGAAAGAGAGGGAGAGGAAAGAGAGAAAGAGGAAAGAGAAAGAGAGAGAGGGAGAGGAAAGAAAGAGAGAAAGAGAAAGAGAGAGGGGGAGAGGAAAGAAAGAGAGAAAGAGAAAGAGGGGGAGAGGAAAGAGAGAGAGGAAAGAGAAAGAGAGGGAGGGAGGGAGGGAGGGAGGGAGGGAGGGAGGGAGGGAGGGAGAGAACTCATGACAGCAGCCTCTATTTCTTTTTAATTAAATTCTTCAAACAAGCTCCCCACCCCTTGCATGTGTGCGTGTGCTCACACAAGTTTTGTGGCTCCCAGTGTTTTGTTTTCTCTGGGAAACGGGTCCAAGTGGCTCTTTGAGTGTTTAAGGTTGCAGACCCCTGATCTAGACACATGATAGCTTTAACATCAGACTTTTCGTAAAACACAGTGGGAAACAAGGTAGCATACTTTATAGCAGCAGCTCCCGACCTTTTCTATACCCCGCCCCCCTAGAACGCTTCTGATATATTCTCGCACCCCTTACAAAAGTTTGAAATAATGGTAATGAATTATGCACATACACTATAATTTTGAAAACTCAACTTTTTGCACTCCCTGGAATATCGTCTTGCACCCCTGGTTGGGAACCCCTGCTTTAGACTAATATTTTAATCTATTTCCTAAACAAACAACATTAAAGCAAGTTTCCTCCATTATTTGTTAGATTTGGGACTATACTCCCAGATTTCCCAGCACATGGGGCCCAGAATTTTAGAAATTATAGTTCGGTCATGGTTGGACAGCAACCATGATAGAGATGGCAATAATTATTTGCATCGGCAGAAGGAAGATGGAATATTCCTCCAACTCTAACTTTATAGGAGAAAAAGACACACCATTTAAAGAGAATTTCTCAATATTGTGGATTATTTTATTTTTCTTTCCTCTTTATAAACTACGTAACTACATACCACTTGGGTTTTGCTAAAATCCCAAGCTGACAAGGAGAAATCGTTTTATCTTCTCTCCCCAATATATCTATTTTTTTTTCCCAGAGAATTGAATTGATCGCTCTATTCTTCAGCTGTTATTTTCTCAAGAGCAACATTAACATTACCTCAGGTTAATGTCACTGAGTACCTCTTTGGTTGTTAAAACGTTTGACACAAATAATAGCTGATGTTCCTGATAATGGACATTGCCATCAATCTGTCCTTTTGGATGATCAAATGATAAATATTAATGGCTTAGAGAGGTTGTGAATTCAAACTAAAGGGGCAACAGACCCTGGGGAAGAGTAGAGAGAAATATCAACCCACAGAAACCTTTTTATAAGAACAGTTTAGGGGTAAGGCAATAATCAGTTTCTTGATAGGGTTGATGGAGGTGGGGAATACAACCAAACAACCAGCCTTTTAATAAGAAAGTTGAATAAATCTCATAAGCCTCTCATGAATAGCCATCTCCTAATTCTAAGATATTTTAATCCCATTCAGCTAGATCAGCGATAGGCAACCTTGGCTCTTTTATGACTCGTGGACTTCAACTCCCAGAATTCCTGAGCCAGCATGGCTGAGCTTGGAAACTTCTCCCTTTCCCCTCAGCATGGCTGGCTCAGGAATTCTGGGAGTTGAAGTCCACGAGTCATAAAAGAGCCAAGGTTGCCTACCCTTGAGCTAGATGCAGTATTTCCAAGCCTTGCTTGGAAAGCAGGGGGTTGTATTGCATGATTTAAGTAAAATGTTTTTATTTTGCAAAATGAAAGCTGCAGGTAGTCTTCGACTTACCATCACCATTACCAGCCCAAAATTTATTCTGCTAAGCAAGGCAGTTGTTAAGTGAGTTTGGCCCCATTTTATGACCTTTCTTGCCACAGTTGTTAAGTGAGCCACTGCAGTTGCTAAGTTAGTAAGACAGTTGTTAAGTGAATCTGGCTTCCCCCATTGACTTTGCTTGTCCGAAGGTGGCAAAAGGGGATCACATGACCCAGGGACACCTGCAACTGTCATAAATACGAGCCAATTGCCAAACGTCCGAATTTTATTATTTTTTTTATAATGTTTTATTGATTTTCTAATTTTACGTTTAAGTATTTCAAAAGCAATGTGGCGGCTGAGTTAATCGATCATTCAATGACATACAAGTATCTTTAGTACAAGTCTCAAACTACCACATTAAATACTTCCTCTCTTTCCCTCTTAGTATTTACTGTCCCATGTTGAAACGAATATAATTCTTATTATATCAATTAATTAAAAATAACATTCTTACATTTATCAATAATTTTTAGCTGATGCATATCCTGGTTATTTTAACATTCAGTCTTTATAGACAATCAATGTCCTAATTAGTTCTTCCCAATTTTTAGTTTCCCGTTAATATTTAAATTTAACATTTAATATTTATAATTTCCAAGTTTTAAGCAACCAAATTTTAATGATGTGACCATGAGGATGCTGCAACAATCATAAGTGTGAAAAATGGTTATAAATCACTTTTTTCAGTGCCATTGTAACTTGGAACAGTCATTAAACAAAAGGTTGTAAATTGAGGTCTATCTGAGTTATGAAGATTTTCAAGCTGTGAGACTTTAAAAAAAACAGATAAATAACATCAGAATATAGTTTACGTAACATTATAGTTACTGGTCTACAGCAGGTAGCACCATCCAACTGATGCTGGCTTATGTCAAAAAGATAAGGGGAATTATAGAGTTAGTGTTTTAGATTAGAAATCAGCAGGAAAGGTTATGATCTGTATCAGTGATGGCGAACCTTTTAGAGACCGAGTGCCCAAACTTCAACGCAAAACCCACTTATGTATTGCCGGGTGCCAGGTGGGCGTGGCCACTGGGTGGGTGTGGCCCACCAAGTGGGCGTGGCTACACTGGTCATGGCAGACGGGTGGACATGGCCAGGGTGGACATGGCTAGCTCGATGTTGCTCCTGGGGAGGAACACCTGTGGGGGCCGGGCAGGGTTGGGGGAGATCCAGGGGTCTCTGGCGGGTGGAGCAATGGGCAGGAGGCTGGTTCTGCGGGGTGAGGCGAGGGAGGGCAGGGATGCCATGTCGCAGGGCAAGGCAAGGCAGGGGCGGGGCGGCTGTTGTCTGACATCATCGGTCCCCGTACACAGAGGCCAGCAAGCGCATGGCAGCTGGTTGAAGAAGATGGTTGCCATCTCCGGGGCATGGTGTGCGTGCCCAAAGAGAGGGCTCCGAGTACCGCCTCTGGCACGCGTGCCATAGGTTCGCCACCACTGATCTATATTAAGAAATTAAAAAATAGTCCTGTTGGAGAATGGCAAACCACTTCCACAATAACATCACTATTGCCCTCAAAGAATAACTCCTGGAAGTTTACACTATGAAGGATAAAAATATGGTGAAAACATAAAAGACCAATAAAAAACTCCAAATTATCATAAAACAATAAGCATAACAATAACTCCTTCACTCCCCAAAGGTCCTTTTACATTTATCAGCAAATGTACAACGATTCACCAGTTTGCAGATAATAATTTAGGAACTATTGGCCAAATAATGTGGCACAAATAATTCCTGTTGGGTTTTTTTTTAAAAAAAAAGCAATTATACCTGGACTTTCCTACAGGCCCTCAGAATGGAGATGCTACAAATGTCAAACTGAAGGGGAAAATGTAGGCAAGGATATAGAGGTAGTCCTTGACTTACAGCAGTTTTTAGTGACTATTTGAAGTTACAACGAAACTGAAAAATGTGACTTATGACTGTTTTTCACACTTATGACCATAGCAGCATCCCCACCGTGACATGATCAAAATTCAAACACTTGGCAACTGACTCATATTTATGACGGTCGCAGTGTCCCAGGGTCATGTGATCAACTTTTGGGGCCTTCTGAGGCAAAGTCAACAGGGAAGCCCGTTTCACTTAACAACCATTGTTGTTGTTAGTTGCGAAGTCGTGTCCAACCCATCATGACCCCATGGACAACGTTCCTCCAGGACTTCCTGTCCTCTACCATCTTCTGGAGTCCATTTAAGCTCACGCCTACTGCTTCAGTGACTCCATCCAGCCACCTCATTCTCTGTCGTCCCGTTCTTCTATTACACCAGTGTTTCTCAACCTTGACAATTTTAAGGCATGTGGACTTCAACTCCCAGAATTCCTCAGCCAGCAATGCTGGCTGTGGAATTCTGGGAGTTGAAGTCCACATGCCTTAAAATTGTCAAGGTTGAGAAACACTGTATTACACTCAATCTTTCCCAGCATTAGGCCCTTCTCCAGTGAGTCCTTCCTTCTCATTAGGTGGCCAAAGTACTTGAGTTTCAACTTCAAGATCTGGCCTTCTAAAGAGCAGTCAGGATCAATCTCCTCTAGGACTGACCGGTTTGATCGCCTTGCAGTCCAGGGGACTTGCAGGAGTCTTCTCCAGCACCATAGTTCAAAGGCCTCAATTCTTTTGTGCTTTAACAACCATATTACTAATTTAATAACGGCAGCCATTCACTTAACAATTGTAGCAAGAAAGATGATAAAATGGGATAAAACTCACTTAGCAAATGTTTCGCTTAGCAACAGAAATTTGGGTCTCATAAGTCGAAGACTATCTGTAATGAAAATGTCCCAGCCTATAAGAGACAGGTAGATAACACAAACTCAAGAAGACATAGCTGATTTGTTAGATGTATTAATGCATACAGAGAAAGGGAGAAGATTTGAGCTTTAAGTTTAATAGGGTTTTTTTCTTTCTTTCTGCCCGTCACACCCTTTGTACTTACAGGTTGAGCAGACCAGAAGCATTCTCACTACCAACTCACAGATCAGCTTCAGTTTCTGCTGCACTCTGGTTGCTACAATAGGAATGATAATCTCAGCTGGAACGTAGAACTGAATCGAGTAGGTCACAAAAATCCCAAAGGAATAAAGGATCTTGACCATTTGGTACAACCTGTGAATAGTTGAACAAAACCTCTGAATTACGACGACAGTCTGCAACAAAGCAAAGGAACCACTGCAAATTGTATTTGGTGAACTGTCAAATAATTGGCTCCCTCGGTTCAAAATAGGGATGCACACAAAGCCAAAATATTATTATTATTATTATTATTATTATTATTATTATTATTATTATTATTAACATGCTTTGACTGACCATTGATCTTGTGGCAGGTTGAGAGTAATGCTGGCTTTGATTTCGTCTCCAAAGCGTACATATCCCAGGATGGCTAATGAAATATACAAGGTCATCACAATTCCCATGCCAACGTTGAGTGCCACTGGGAAGCGGTTAACTTCTTTCATCCTATTCTGAATGGGGAGCACCTGAAAAAGATATGTTAAGATATATACAGATATGTACAGATATGTACATAAGATATGTACAGATATGTTAAGAGGAGGATAAGACATTTTAATTTTATTTATTTATTAAATTTATATGCCGTGTGTCTCGCTATTGAAACACTCAAAGAGGAGTTTCATGTCTGAATAGTTTCTTCCTGAAAATTTGAATGATTAAAAATAGATATTTTGGGGGGCACTCAGCAACTGGAAACTTGGAAAAAGTGCAACCATAATACAACTGAGTGTATGAGAATTATGTAAGCTATTTCCAAAGGAGATGGGCTCAACGGCTCAGTGGTTAAAGACAATGAGCTTGTTGGCTGGAAAGCTGACAGCCCAGGGTTGAGACCTGAGCACCATGCAACAGGGTGAGCTTCTGTCCTTGCTCCAGCTCCTGCCCACCTAGAAGTTTGAAAGCATGCAAATGTGAGTGGATAAATAGGTACCCCTTCGCTGGGAAGATAACAGTGTTCTGTGTGCCTTGCTATATAGTCATGCTGGCCACATGACCATGGAAGCATCTTCAGACAACAATGGCTCCCTTGGCCAAGAAGCAAAGATGAGGACCATGCCCTAGAGCAAGGCTTTTCAACCAGTGGTACGGGTACCACCTGTGGTACATTGGCACCTGGCAGGTGGTACGTGACCATCCTAGAAAAGTGGTAGCAGGGGAGGGGAATGAGCTGAACTGGTGGCAGCATTGCACAAGCCTGAGCTGCTGGAGCTGCAGGACTGTCAGGGCTCAGCGGAAGTGCCAGGATCAGTGCTGCTTTTCAGCTGATCGGCGCTTCTTCAGGGCTATCAAGGCCCAGTGGAAGCGCCAGGATCAGTGCCAGGCTCCAGCTGGAACTCGGTGCTGATCCTGGCGCTTCTGCTGAGCCAGAAGAAGCACAGATCAGCTGGAATGTTGCAGCATCTCCAGGGTCTTGTGATTTACATTCAGATGCTTGGCAACCGATTCATATTTATGATGGTCACAGTGTCCAAGGGTCATGTGAAGTGACCAAAACCTGCTGCAACCATCCAGCAGACGGGGGGAATAAAAACCAAATACCCCCCCACCCCACCTCCACTGCCAATCCTCAACAGAAATGCTCACAACAATGAAAACCTCGGACAGGAGGAAGAGCACCGCTGGCTGGGCAGGCTGTGGCTTGGGGGGGCACTTTTTTTCAGTGCCATTGTAACTTCGAACAGTCACTAAGTGAACTGTTGTAAGTCGAGGACTACCTGTACTTCATCACTTTTTTCCTTTTTTTTTTTTTTTTTTTTTGGTCATCAAGTTTTTGACACCTTGCTAGGCGACTGGTGGTACTCGGATATTGCCATATCCTAAAAGTGGTACAATGGGTGAAAAGATTGAAAAGCCCTGCCCTAGAGTCAGACATGACTGGACAGGGAAACCTTTACCTTTTACCTTTGCTTCCAAAGTATCCTAGACATAAGAGCCAATTGATTATAGTATCAGTGCTATATTGAGGGCTTGGACCTATAGTTTAATTGCAACCCACTGATCATGGCTTGCCCAAATCCAAAGACATCCAGCTTTCAACGAGCAAAGTCAATAGGGGCAACTGTGAGAGGGATCTTGGAGTCCTAGTGGACAATCACTTAAATATGAGCCAGCAGTGTGCTGCAGCTGCCAAAAAAGCCAACACAGTGCTGGGTTGCGTTAACAGAGGGATAGAATCAAGATCACGTGAAGTATTAATAATACTTTACAATGCCTTGGTAAGGCCATACTTGGAATACTGCATCCAGTTTTGGTCATCACGATGTAAAAAAGATGTTGAGACTCTAGAAAGAGTGTAGAGAAGAGCAACAAAGATGATTAGGGGACTGAAGGCTAAAACATATAAGGAACAGTTGCTGGAATTGGATATGTCTAGTTTAATGAAGAGAAAGACGAGGGGGGACATGATAGCAGAGTTCCAATATCTCAGGAGTTGCCACAAAGAAGAGGGAGTCAAGCTATTCTCCAAAGCACCTGAAGGCAGGACAAGAAGCAACAGATGGAAACTAATCAAGGAGAGAAGCAACCTAGAACTAAGGAGAAACTTCCTGACAGTGAGAACAATTAACCAGTGGAACAACCTGCCTCCAGAAGCAGTGAATGCGCCAACACTGGAAGTTTTTAAGAAGAGACTGGACAGCCATTTGTCCAAAATGGTATATGCCTGAGCAGGGGGTTGGACTAGATGGCCTCCAAGGTCCCCTCCAACTTTATTATTATTATTATAGGGACACAAAGGACAACTGTGTATCACACATAGGATTTGTCTTTATCCATTTTGTAGGCCAAATTCAGCCATGAAATAGCCTCCAGCCATTAAAATGTTGCCCACTTGTTTAAGGAACAATAGGAATGTTGTCCAAATAAGAAAGAGAAAAAAATGTCGCAAAGTGAACCTAAAAGGCCACAGAGCTGAAAGTCTATCCCTCTGAGTAAGCATCAAATCAAAGATTACCAATTTGACGTGCCCTTTCAATTCTACCTCCTGTGTCCCTGAAGCGAAATTTGCATAAGCAGGAGCTAAAGTGTTGTATATGATTTCTGCAACTGGGTGAAACTTCTCTTTATTTCATCAATTTGCTTCCGCAAATATTTACTGTTGCCTAGCTCAAACAACTTTGGAAATTTACAGTAAATGAAATTAAAAATAAACGCAATCAAGCGAACCAGGAAGGTTCTACATATAAATAGCAGCAATTTTGCCATGTTGGATCATCATCTACTGCTTAAGGCAGTTCATGTTGATTTTGCTACTCATTAGAAGAGGGATCTATAACCAAACTCACATACTTGGCTGCACGTTGCTGAGATTGCAACGAGCTCTAACCACTCGTTCTTGTGATATACACCAACAAGTAGACCTTTGATCTTATTGCCGCGGCCACCATCTTGAACTATTTTTTTACCATTTCTCATCAACACCCCTTGAGTATAGGTAGTCCTTGACTTACAATCACAACTGAGCCCCAAATTTTTCACCCTTACGACTGTTGCAGCATCCCCTTGATCACATGATCAAAATTCAGATGCCTGGCAACTGATTCATCATGGTTGTAATGTCCCGGGATCAAGTGATCATCTTTTGCAACCTTCTGACATGCTAAGTCAGGGGTCTTCAAACTTGGCAACTTTGAGACTTGTGGACTTCAACTCCCAGAATTCCTCAGCCAGCCCTGGCTGGCTGAGGAATTCTGGGAGTTGAAGTCCACAAGTCCTAAAGTTGCCAAGTTTGAAGACCCCTGTGCTAAGTCAATGGGAAAACCAGATTCACTTAACAATGGTTGTTACTAAGTCAACCACTGCAGGAATTCACTGAACAACTGTGGCAAGAAAGGTCGTGAAATGGGCCAAAACTCACTTAACAACTGGCTCACTTAGCAGCAGAAATGTTGGGCTTAATTTTGGCCGTTGGTCGAGAATGTAGTGATGCAGATAAGTGCCTTAGTTTGACAAGATTTCTGTCTGTAGCAATAATAAAGAAATTACTCTGAAGTAACTCGTGTTGTTGTTGGTTCCTTGGACCTCACAGCTGCCTTCTAATGAAAGCACCAAGCTTCTGCAGGGGCTATTGCTTGCAGGCCTTGGACAGATAATCTAGGCTGGTGTGACATTAATGCACCTTCTTCTGTTCACTCTCTCCCACAACAACCTTTATGCATAACATCACCCAGTTCAACTTTTTTCCATTCTTCATGACTTCACAATCAGTTTTCTCAAGATAGCCCTAAAACCGGCAATCGCATGTTTATAGAATGCATTTGTATTACATAGTAGAGGAATAAAGGGAAGAGAAAAGGTATTTGGATTTGAGAGGATATTTTAGGCAGGTTCTTAACTCTTAACGTAAAATACTCACCACACCTATTCCTTCAAATGCAAAGATAGCTGTGCCAAAGAAAAGGGGATACTTGCTCCAACTAGCCACCAGAATCAGTTTTTGAGGTGCAGCTAAACCCTGGGGAGAGAAAGTAAAGAGGGAGTATATATCTATTCTGAAGTTTACAATATTTTCAAGAGCAGCAGTTTTTTTCACAGAAGCAAAGGTAGGCCAACTAATGCCTACTGACATGACCAAAATCAGATCCAGTGGAAGATATTAGTAGCATATCTCACTTCTTACAATTGTTAAAAGCGAAGTATCGTTCTATGCAGTCATCATGTCAAGTTTCGAAGCACGTTTCTGCTGGTGCGACAAATATTGCTTCTCAGCTTGCCAATGAACTTGGGGGGAGGGAAGAGATTTGGAATGCAGACTTCAAAGATTAAGAAGCCAGACTGTGAGAATCAAGGACATTACACCAGGCGTCTGGCTAGACCTAGAGATGATTTCTCATAACAACATTTTTCTACTTCATTGGGCAACGCGACCTGACCCAGAGGGAGGAGGGAGAATTCAATGCTTTTACTATATGCCAGAGCTGATTTTGCTTCCATTAGTGCCGAAGTGATGTACTCAATACAATTTTACATTAAGAGATCGAAATGTCTCAAAGATCTTTGCTTGGTTGGGTTCATGAGTTGGAACTTTGACACATCAGTGGTAGGATGAGATATGATCTTAAGGCCTCAAGCTTAGCTCAATCCCTGATGATTTCAAGATCAGAGTCGTGTTTTCTTTGGGGGAAAAAAGACTGCTGTTGCAGCCACTAAATCAGAAAGGCTCAAATCATTTTAAAAACTCCATGCAGGTAGTCCTCAACTTAGAACAGGTCCTTTAGTGACATTTTCAAAGTTACAACAGCACTGATAAAAGTGACTTTCGACCGATTTTCATACTTACGATCATGATAGCATCCCCAGGGTCATATGATCAAAATTCAAATGTTTGGGAACTAACTCACATTTATGACCGTTGCAGTGTCCCGGGGTCACGTGATCCCCTTTTGCGGCCTTCTGACAAGCAAAGTCAAAGGGGAAGCCAGATTCACTTCACAACCGTGTTACTAATTTAATAACTGCAGTGATTCCCTTAACAACCGTAATTAATAAATGTCTCACTTAGAAACATAAATGTTGGGCTCCATTGTGGTCGTAAATTGAGGACTCCCTGTACGGGAGTTGTTTGTCCCTTGTTTTCTTCTCCAGTGAGATAGTTTCAACCACCCTCTGGTGCTTGTGTGAAGGTACAGAAATACAGGACCAAATTCACATTAGAAAGGATCGGGGTCTGTGGGGCAGAACCCAACCAAATGTGACACTGAAAAATGAAACAGTGGAGAAATACCGTATTTTCCGGTGTATAAGACGACTTTCTAAAGCCTGAAAATCTTCTCAAAAGTCAGGGGTCGTCTTATACGCAGGTATATACTGGTAGCTGTTCTCTGAATTTAAAACCAATCTGCCCTCTAGTGGCCAGCCCTATTTTTTTACAAATAAGCACTTAACAGGACAAAGCTTTCTAGCAGCAAAGGAGCTCCTATTGTGCTCATCTATAAACAGAAATTCAATATTGTACTGTATTTTCTGGCATATAAGATGACTTTCTAAACCCTGAAAATCTTCTCAAAAGTTGGGGGTCGTCTTATACGCCCAGTCGCCTTATACGCCGGAATATATGGTACTTCCTACTCACCTCTATAACGTAGTGATAAATAACGATCAAGCTGACAGCCATAGCTAAATTTGCAAGGAACGAGAACACAGAGAGATGCTTCAGATCGCGAATGAAAACCAAGAGGATTACAGGTGGAAGGAAGCACAGCATGTATACTCTCAAATCGGTGGTCTTTCTGTCTGGAGGGGCAGGGGTCCCTGTGGCGTTCATAGCATATGGTTTAGTTTGAGCATATCCTTCGCAAACCTGCCATAAATTAAGCACAGAGAGAGAGAGAGTTGAGCACATTTAGCATTGGGAGAACTACAGGCAGTCCTCGTTTTACGACTGACTCATTTAACGACCCTTCAAAGCGACAGTGTTTAAAAAACAGCCTTGCAGCCATGCTCACATTTATCATCATCTCGCCACTGATGAGCTTCCCAACTGACTTGCAGGAAGCGTAATCAAGAGAATGAATGAATAGAAAAAAATGGAAATAAAAGTCATGGTCACATGACTTAACGACCGAAGGGGAAGTGAGGTTGTAAGATCAACACGGTCCCATTTTGCTTAGCAACCACAGCACTTAGCAACAGAGCTGCAAGTCCTAATTGTGGCTACTAAACGAGGACTGCCTCTATATAAAACCTAAGAAGTAGTTCAGAAGACAGCAAACCTAGTGCAGGGCTTTTCAACCTTTTCACCCATTGTACCACTTTAAGGATATGGCAATATCCGAGTACCACCAGTCGCCTAGCAAGATGTCAAAAACTTGATGACCCCACCCAAAAAAGGAAAAAAGTGATGAAGTACAGGTAGTCCTCGACTTACAACAGTTCGCTTACTGACTGTTTGAAGTTACAATGGCACTGAAAAAAGTGCCCCCCAAGCCACAGCCGAGCAAGACACCTGCCTGCCCACCCGGCGGTGCTCTTCCTCCTGTCCGAGGTTTTCATTGTTGTGAGCATTTCTGTTGAAGATTGGCAGCGGAGGTGGGGTGGGGGTGTGTGTTTTTTATTCCCCCCATCTGCTGGGTGGTTGTAGCAGGTTTTGGTCACTTCACTTGACCCTGGGACACTGTGACCATCATAAATATGAATCGGTTGCCAAGCATCCAAATGTAAATCACAAGACCCTGGAGATGCTGCAACATTCCAGCTGATCGGAGCTTCTTCTGGGTTCAGCAGAAGCGCCAGGATCAGTGCCGAGCTCCAGCTGGAGCCTGGCGCTGATCCTGGCGCTTCTGCTGAGCCCTGACAGTCCCGAACCGCTGATCCTGGCACTTCCACTGAACCCTGACAGCCCTGCAACTCCAGCCGTCTCTCGCTCAGGCTTGTGTGATGCTACCACTGGTTCAGCTCATTCCCCTCCCCTGCTACCACTTTTCTAGGATGGTCGTGTACCACCTGCCAGGTGCCAATGTACCACAGGTGGTACCCATACCACTAGTTGAAAAGCCCTGACCTAGAGGATTGTTTAGAGCAGGGGTGTCAAACTGCCGGCACGCAGGCCAGATGCGTCACATGATGCGGTGAGTTTGACACCCCTGGTTTAGAGAGTTTACCTGCACACTTCACAGAGTTGCACTAGATGATCCGTGTGGTCCTTCCCAACTCCACAATTCTATGATTCTTTAAATTGTGACAGCATGTTATGGGCTTACACAAAAAACCTTGCTATAGCTGCTAGAAAATAAACTCTGCCATTACTCCCAACTACACAGTCTGTGTCAGGCCCCAAGAACCAAGAACAACACGTGGGGTTACTTATGAGTTGTTTATTATTGTTCACCTACAGACCGAATCTTGATGGACTTAAGCAACTATCCGCATAATTATAATACTTTGTGAACTGCTATAGAGGGGTTCATCTTAGCTCTCTTCCTGCCTACCAGACTTTTCAAGCTCCACTGCCTCTTTGTCCTCTGAGAAGTAACCTGTCTCTCTTGGGACTCCAGACTACATTCCTCCACACCCCGGCTGTAATTGTCTTCTCCAACAGAATGTAAAGAAAGGTTTTCCTCTTGTGTAATTGCATCAACTTATACTTTTTCAACAAGCGTTGGCAAACATCAGTTTGACCCAAAAGGCTCTTCCAACTTGTATTTTTTTTTTTTAAAGAAAGAATTGGTATAGTGCAGGGGTAGGCAACCTTGGCTCTTTTATGACTCGTGGACTTCAACTCCCAGAAGTCCTCAGCCAGCTATGCTGGCTCAGGAATTCTGGGAGTTGAAGTCCACGAGTCATAAAAGAGCCAAAGTTGCCTACCCCTGGTATAGTTACTGCCTTCCTATTAATCCTGCTTTGACTAGGATTGGTCTGGTTTGGGGTTTCAGGCTCCAGCTAGTTGACCCCAAAGTCCCAATGTAGCCAATATGAGAAGCCTTGCTCTCTCTTTGCATACACAAGCCAATGGGTTTTTCACAGGCAAAGGAAGGCCACCTCCTACCTCGTTTGTTTGCAAAACTCTGGGTTCAGCCATCTGTCAAAATCTACTTTCCCTTTTGTCTGTGCAAATGGTGTAGAGCAGGGGTAGGCAACCTTGGCTCTTTTATGACTCGTGGACTTCAACTCCCAGAATTCCTGAGCCAGCATGGCTCAGCTTGGAAACCTCTCCCTTTCCCCTCAGCATGGCTGGCTCAGGAATTCTGGGAGTTGAAGTCCACGAGTCATAAAAGAGCCAAGGTTGCCTACCCCTGGTGTAGAGAAAGGAGAGGGAGGTTTGATGGTAGGCTAAGCAAGACAGTTGTTAAATAAATCATGCAGTTGTTAAACGAAATCTGCCTTCCCCCATTTTACAACCCTTTTGGCCACAGTCGTTCAGTGAGTCATGCGGTTGATTCACTTGGCCTGTTGGAGGTTGGCTGGGAAGGTTACAAATGGTGATCACGTGATCCCAGGACAGTGCAACGGTCATAAAGGCAGGCCGGTGGCCAAGCGCCCAAATTGGGATGCTGCAACCGTCGTAAGTGTGAAAACCAATCATAAGTCCCTTTTTTTCAGTGCCATTGTAGGTTTGAATGGTCACTAAACAAGTGGTTGTAAGTCAAGGACTACCTACATACTGTTTTAATTTTCCTTATTCCTAATGCACCACTGGAAGGAAAGAGCTAGCTTCCATTTTCCTATATTCTTCTTGGTGGGAGAAGTCAATAATAATAACAACAATAACGATAACAATAAAGTTGGAAGAGACCTTGGAGGTCATCTAGTCCAACCCCCTGCTCAGGCAGGAAACCCTATACCATTTCAGACAAATGGCTGTCCAGTCTCTTCTTAAAGACTTCCAACGTTGGAGCATTCACAGCTTCTGGAGGCAGGCTGTTCCACTGATTAATTGTTCTAAGTGTCAGGAAATTTAGTTCTGGATTGCTTCTCTCAGAGAATGTACAATTAGAATAACAGAATAACAGACTTGGAAGGGACCTTGGAAGTTATCTAGTCCAACCCCCTGCTCAAGCAGGAGATTCTATACCATTTCTATGCTATCCAATCTTTTCTTAAAAACCTCCGGTGATGGAGCACCCACAACTTCTGAAGGTAAGCTGTTCCATTGGTTAAGTATTCTCACTGTTAGGAAGTTTCTTCTTAATTCCAAGTTGCTTCTCTCCTTGATTAGTTTCCATCCATTGCTTCTTGTCCTGCCTTCAGGTGTTTTGGAGAATAGGTTAACTCCCTCTTTGTGGCAACCCCGGAGATATTGGAACACTGCTGTCATGTCCCCACTAGTCCTTCTCTTCATAAACTAGACATACCCAATTCCAGCAACCGTTCTTTATATGTTTTAGCCTCCAGTTCCCTGAGCATCTTTGTTGCTCTTCTCTGCCCTCTTTCTAGAGTCTCAACATCTTTTTTTACATCGCGGTGACCAAAACTGGATGGAGTATTCCAAGTGTGGCCTTACCAAGGCACTGTAAAGTGGTATAAACACTTTACGTGATCTTGATTTTTATCCCTTTGGAAATCCCCCTTCCTCTTCTTCCTCACTGCAATGAGAAGAAGGAATAACCTTGAAGAACAGGCGGAAGAGCTGCAATGAAATTAATGGTCAGATAAAAGCTAAAAGAAATCTGGGGCAAATCTCAAGTGACAGAATTTGATTCAAATGTTTTTGTGCTAGGAAGCAGCGTTTGAAACAAACAAACAAACGAACAGGAGAGTTTCAGTCGTATTTCGATTCTCCCATAAAAAGATTCAAGATTCACATAGGAAGAAGTATGAAGACTGTAAGCTGTCTTTCATTTCATTAAAAAAATGGGGAGGGGGGGTTGGCTTCGAATTGCAATTTCCTTTAAGAGAGCCCTCCAATCTAGAAAAATGGTATAGGGTTTCCTACCTGAGCAGGGGTTGGACTAGATCATCTCCAAAGTCCCTTCCAATTTTATTATTATTATTATTATTATTATTATTATTATTAGTAGTAGTAGTAGTAGTAGTAGTAGTAGTAGTAGTAGTAGTAGTAGCAGTAACACTAGTCTGTAGGAACAGAGATAGCTGCTTGGAATAAGATATCCAATTCAAAGTCTTCTGCAGTTTTGTCCAGTGTTAATCACCCCACAAATAAAAAACATTTTAGACCATTCAATCTATTCCCTATTAAACCACAGGGATAATAGGTTGCTCCACGGGGCCTTCCTAATAATTACCTGAAGTAATCTAAACAACTATTTGAGCGTGGGAAATATTTTATTACATAAACATCTGGTGTCATTTGGTAGGCACTACATGCTATTAATACTCTTTGGGGGGTCCCACTATTTTTCATTACAATGGAATAGTAAACATTATTAGCCAGGCTTTTGCATTATTAGACCTAACAGACAGTCAGGGTAAAAGCCAACATGCCAGCAAGGCAAGCCGTATTACAGTACACTTTGGGTTTTCTTCTGTCATTCCCATAACAATATTTCACTTAATTATCAGAAAAGATTTCCATAGAATTTATATCCTCCCCCCACACAAAATGGGAAAAGTGGAACTGTATTGATCCATGTTCATTAAGACCAGGGGTCTTCAAACCTGGCCCTTTTATGACTTGTGAACTTCAACTCCCAGAATTCCTCAGCCAGTGTGCCTGGCTGAGGAATTCTGGGAGTTGAAGTCCACAAGTCATAAAAGGGCCAAGTTTGAAGACTCCTTGATTAAGGCTGACCTGTAGTTCTTGACTTATGTCTGGCCACTTAGTGACCGTTCAAAGTTCCGATGAACCTATCTTGGGGCTACTTATGATCTTATCCAATGTTTCTATGGTCAGTCCTCTTCTGTGGTCATATGACCATACTTTGGGCACTTCTGACAACACAGCCACATTTATCACCCTTTGCGGTGTCCCAGGGTCATTAGACTGCATTTTGTGACAGTTTTGCCAAAAAGCGGTACTTATTTCTGTTTATGAACAATGTACAAACAAAGATTTAGTAGCAACATTTGTATGGTAAAAGTTAAATGGCCAAAATAAAGACACAAAAGTGAGTTTTTAAATAAGTAAGTAAGTAAGTAAGTAAAAGACCTATAGTCACTATGGCTATGACATTCCAGACTATCTACTCTTTCACCGAGCAGATTTTTTTATACTAAAAAAATTAATTCACCAGTGCACTATTTCATTATGACAGTCCGGTAACTCAGGAAAGGAAAAATAATAATTGTAGAAAAAAAGTTTCTGCCAAGTTTGAGGTTTTCCTCAAGATTTGAACAGCCCCACTCTACTGATATTTCAATGGTGTTTTAATGTGTTTTTTTTAAACAATTTGTAAATTGCCAGAATCACCAGGAATCAGGTGCCACATACATTTAGAAATTAATAAATAAATAAGCAAACAACAAACAAACCTTTTTTTTTACTAGCATGTTAAAATAGGACTCAAGATCAGAAGAGTAAAAGAATCAAGCAGGAGGCATTCATAGCAAAACTGGCCATTTCTCAGTGATCAGGCAAACAATAGAGACTGGAAGCCAACACGAAAGAAAATCCAAGACAAGACTGAATGAATCTTCCAATACAATTAAAACAAGAATATAGCACAGTCTAATGCAGTGCTTCTCAAATAGTGGAGCGCGCCCCCCAGGGGGGGCGCGAGGCTCCGTAAAGGGGGGCTCGTTTGACCTCGGCAAATACTGTCATATTGATAGTAGCAGCCCGACGCGGAGGACAACATGACCGCCAACGCATGTGACACATGCAAAGGACCCGATTGGATAGACATGATGCTCTATCCTGATTGGCCAAACCCGCCCGTGTAACTTTTAGACCCGGAAATCGGTCCTCTGTACAGAAAAAAAATTGTACAGTCGCGCGGGGGGGGGGGCGCGAAATGTTTTCTTCTTCCTAGGGGGGGCATGACAGAAAATAATTGAGAAGCACTGATCTAATGTGTGAACCAGGCTTCGTGGTCTATGCTAATCTAATCAGTTTACTGTTTTATTTGTATGTTATGTGTGAGAAAAGTAAACCTGCTTTCCCCAGCTTGCCACCCTCCAGGAAAACGTAAATCTGGAAACTGCTGTAGCAAGATATGCGAAGCGAACATGACAAAATCACAAAGGAGTGCCAAACAGCACAAAAGGATCCCTCCAAAGAATGCTAGCTTTATTGGTTCTGAGTAAGATCTATGAATGTTGATATAAAAGAGATTGATCATGATCAATAACTGGTTATCCAGACTAATTTTCTGTGACTTACATGCAGGTGCTTTTTTGAGGGGTGAAGATGCAGTTTTTTTACCACTGAGGAAATAGAATTACAACAGCAGCTGAAAGAATAGAATCCCTTGGGCTCCCCCTACAGTTGAAAATGATTATCTAGATCGGATTCCCAATTCAATTCAGATTTTTATCGAACCAAGTGGGAAATTCTCACGTTTTAAGACCACACTGCTAACCCTTGGCAACAAAACATCCCAGTTTTGATGCAGCCACACTGGATTTTTGTTTTTTCAAAATTCAGTTTAGGTATTTATGTATACGATTTAGAGGCCACGTGACTTTCAATCATCTGGCCGGCTTAATATTTATGTTTATTTTATGTTTATGTTTATTTATTTGTATCTCACCTTTACTGTTGTTTAGAAATAACACAAAGCATTGAACATATCCAACACAGCTTTACAAATGAAAGCCAGCAACCACCAGCCTTATCCTAAATATGCAGAGTTGGAGGAACTACAAGTATCATATGGTCCAGTGTTTTTTTAATCTTGGCTAGGAGAATTCTGGGAATTGGAGTCCACGCATCTTAAGGTTCCAAGATTGAGAAACACTGATCTGGTACAACACTCCACAGTGCACACTCCAATTATACAATCCATGAGCTGTTCAGACTCTACTAAAATACTCCTACAGATCAAGAACCCACAACCTCTGTAAGCTGACTATCTCCCAGAAATTGTTACGCCAATGACTTAATAGCTGGCCATCACACCCCAATAAACACCCCAATAAATCCACACACACAACCAGGCACCATATAAGTACCACATACAGAATAGTGTCCAAAGCACACATTCTGCTAGAGACAAGTTCCCTGAGGATGGGCTCCAGCACGAATCTGAAAGCTTGGAAGACTAATAAACCTTTGGTCCTGGTGACCAACCTAGACTGGATCCTGCAACTTTATCCCGGGACACATATAGTCTCCTTCAAGTCCCCATAAAGTTTTTTCTTATATTTAAACACAATCAAAGCAGCTGCAGCATGCGCTCATTATTTCTGGTCCCGGTTTCTGTGACTATGGAGAACTTGGCTAGCTTGTCCACAGCTTCTCTTTATCTACCTAAGCACAGCTATCATGTCTGCCCTCAACTCCTTTTCAAATTAAACTTTCCAAAATTCTTCCAGCATGTCCTCATAGGCCATGTCCCCAAGTCCCTGAATTGTTTTTTGTTACCTCTTCTGAACCTCTTCTGTCAGTGTCCTTTGGAAAATGGGACGCCCAGAAATGCACATAAGTACTTCAAGTACATATTTGAAGGGCTGCCACAAATAAGAAGGGGTCACGTTATTCTCCAAAGCACCAGAGGGCAAGACAAGAAACAATGGAAGGAAATTAATCTAGGAGAAAAGCAACCTGGAATTAAGGAGAAATTTTCCCAACAGTGAAGACAATTAACCAGTGGAACAGCTTGCCTTCAGAAGTTGTGGATGCTCCATCACTGGAGGTTTTTAAAAAGAGGCTAGACAGTCACTTGTCTGAAATGGTATAAGTTCTGCTTGAGCAGGGGGCTGGACTAGAAGACCTCCAAGGCCCCTTCCAGCTCGATTCTATTCTAAGTATGGTTTTTTCGGCACCCAAGAAATAAGAAAACCATTAGAACCATGGGGCATCTTTTAGAAATTTGGGCTAGTCCTTTCTAGGGAAGCAAGAAGCTTTTGAAGAGCAGTCAAAGACATTTAGAGAAGACCGCGGTAGTCCAGTCTTATGAAAAAGAACCACAGATGAGATGCACACAGGATTTAAACCAGCGGTTCTCAACCTGTGGGTCGGGACCCCATTTGGGGTCGAACGACCATTTCACGGGGGTCGCCAAACAACGCAGTCCGCCATTTTTTTCCCCTTTTCCTTAGCTGTTCTACTCCCTTTTATTCTATTGGCTTTTGAAAGCCAATAGAATAGACTCTCTTGAATAGAGTCTAATTCTATTGGCTTTCAAAAGCCAATAGGAATTGTCCAGGCTGCCTCTGCCCTGCTGAGCCCGCCAACAGTCCCATTCTGCAAATGGTGCTGCACCAGTTGAGTAGTCCTCGACTTACGACCGGTTGAGTAGTCCTTGACTTATGACCGGTTGGGGGGTCACGGCATTAAAAAGGTTGAGAACCACTGATTTAAACAGAGAAAACATGTCTGTCATAGCAAAAGAGTAAAGGAGACAATAACGTAACACACATCCAAACAATATTTATTGTACTTACTTGTTTCATATTTTCAGCTAAGAATACAAAATAAACACTACAAAAGCCCAACTGGGTAACCACAAGGAAGAAGTCAACGACATATCTACGAAACATAATGAGAGGAAAAATAAGTTTTTAAGTTAGTTGTGGCTTGCAATGCAGTAAAGCTATGATCATGAAAATACATCAAATGCATCAGAAGAAGGGGTGCACTGAAAAGATAATTCGGTGGGACAACTGCTTACTAATTTGTTTTAATGGCATCTGCAGGTTTATATCTCCAGTGGATCAGTTAATACTCTTGTTTAGATGGCCTTGTTTCACCCTGAATTGGATTAGCAGACTCGTGCAAGCTATTCTAACCAAATTGAAATGGTAGTATTTTAATTGGCATTTTGATTTTCTGCTGCTAATCACATTGGGCTGTTTTCAGAACATTTTTAACTTATTTATTCCTTTATGTAGAAAAAATGCAATTGCTTTTTTCTCAGATTTTAGATATATCCTACTAGATGAAAAAAAAGAGGAATATGGAGGTACTGTATATAATGGTCTTTTTCAATTATATTCTCTTTAAGATACACATGGACTTTTGGAATCTTGACAAGCAAATAACCAGGATTTGTTGAATGTTCAGTATAACCTGCTAGTTATGATTAACCCTCTCTCAAAATTATTAGCAGTGATCTTCCGAACATTTTTTTTCCAGATAGGGATATACTGGTAGTCCTCCACTTACAACTATAACAGATCCTGCCTATCATGGTCATAAAATGTATCAGTCACCTGAACTTCAAATCCAGGTCATTAAATAACCTCCAAATAAGTCCATCTTAACTTTGAATAGTCCTGTGATTGGCTGTAAGGCAAGGACTACCTGTATCTCTTTTTTTTGGTAAACAGGTTATAAGCCATCTTGAACTTAGACATTCAACAGGGTATCAGAACTAGAATTATTTGTTCACATCTTGCCTAAACCAGAATAGCACTTTCTTGCAACTGAGGATTACACTTAAAAAAAAAAAAACCTTACTCAAGAGCTGTTGAATGGAGGATGGGATTGAGAGATGGCATCATAATTTCACTAGGGTGGACAGAGCCAAAATTCTGCAGGGTTGAAATGATTTAACTATTCTTCATCCTTGGCAAAATTCTCAGGAGAGGCAATGGAGCACTGGGATGCTGAACATGGATTGCCAATTGCCCACTCTATGCTAAGCCACCATGCATATAATCTACTTAATTTTGGCTCGCCATGATATGCAATTTTTGATTTGTGAACTATGAGTACAGAAGTGTCAAGATTCATGTTTTCTTAATCAACAAACTTAAACTACAAGCAGAAAAGCAAAGTTTTACATTTAGGCAGGAAGAATCAAAGATATAAGTACAGATTAGGCAAGACCTGGCTCAAAAACAGCAACTGTGCGAGGGACCTTGGAGTCCTAGTGACTATGAGCCAGCAATGAGCAGCAGCAGACAAAAAAGCTAATACAATCCTGGGTTGTATAAACAGAGGCATAGAATCAAGATCACACAAAGTATTAGTACCACTTTATAAAACCCTAGTGAGGCCACACCTGAAATACTGCAACCAATTTTGGTCACCATACTACAAAAAAGATGTTGAACCCTTGGAAAAAGTTCAGAGTAAAGTAACTAAAATCATCCAAAGCCTGGAGACTAAAACATATGAAGAATGGCTGCAGGACTTGGGTTTGGCTAGTGTAAAGAAAAGAAGAAATAGGGGTGACATGATAGCAGTATTCCAGTATTTGAGAGGCTGCCACAAAGAAGAGGGGGGTCACCTTATTCACCGAAGCACCAGAGGGCAGGACAAGAAACAATGGTTGGAAAGTGACCAAAGAGAGAAGCAACCTAGAATTAAGGAGAAAGTTCCTAACCATGGGGACAATTAACCAGTGGAACAGCTAGCTTTCAGAAATTGTGGACACTCCATCACTGGAGGTTTTTAAGAAGAGACTGGACAATCATCTGTCTGAGATGGTATAGGTCCTCCTGCTTGAGCAGGGGGCTGGACTAGAAGAACTGCAAGGTCCCTTCCAGCTCTATTCTATTCTAAAGCCAAATAATGTCTGGTCTTTCCTTTCCCTCACGTTCCCAAAATACATCATTTGATGATTAAGGCAGATTAAATATATCTGGCTAGCAATGCTGCTAAGGGGCACATCATTTCTGCTGGTTCTGAATCAGTTTGAATCTATAACTTACTGATTGAGTTTATATACAGCAATAGGTCACACTTGGCTGAATAAACTACACAATCAGAACACAGCTGGTTGAAGAAGAGGGAAAGAGGGAAGTGAGAGAAGAAGTAAGAGGGTGGATGCGGTTTGGGGGGAAATGGGTAAGCAATACCGAAAGTTGTGTGTATAAACTTATTCTATTCTTTATCTGAAGTACTCTTTATGAATGTAATGAAAAATTGAAAATAAAAAAAATGTACATAAAAAAAGAACACAGCAACTGTTTTCAGATGACATTTTTTTTTATACCGCCTGTCTAGCCTCAAGGGCTGCAGAGAGGTTACGTGGTAACAGAGAAAAGCTGCAGAACAGGGATGGGGAAAGGAGAATATATATGGTCTAAATTCCCAACATGAGATTGTCCAGTTGTGTAAGAACTGCAGCCCTCAGGACTCTTGAGAGGGCATAATAGATCATCCTGATCATGGCAATATAGCCATGATTTTCCTTTTCAGAATGAGACCTGGGGGATTTTCTGGTCAGACCCACCCACTCTGCTCTGTTATTTTTTTAAAAAATGTTTTATTAGTTTTCCATTTTTACAAACCATAAGTGCTTAGTAAACAACATGTCATCTGAGTCCATTTGCCTTACTTAATAATACACATTAAACTCCTGATCTCTACCCTGTTTTTCTGGCCATCGATAAACTACATCCCATATTTTGAAATCCAGCACTGATCAAACACAATACTTAGTACTGTTAATATGTGCAACATTAAATATATATTTTCCTTATCACATTTTTCTAACGTTATACCTAAAAAAATCTGTGCTCTGTTATTGTGGAACCAGAAGGCTGCATCATTCTCTGCATTAAAAAATAATTGAGACCATGCAAAAACAGTTCTTACCTTCCCCAAGATGATCTTTTCTGTAGTAAGTGAAAGGGACACGTTTCCATGGCACGGCTAACGGTGTCACTATACCCTAAGAAAGGTATTTTTAATCTATCAAGAACAAAAAAAGTAATTATTTCTCCTCCAACTGAAAAAAAAAGAAAAGATTGAGCTGTTTGTCCGCTGCTGCAATTTTTCAGAGACTCTGAGCAGCTCACAGGATTAATATAAAAAGGTTAAGAACAAAAATGTAGTTAAGTGGGAGAAGTCTGGCTACTCAGGAATAACGATATCAAGAGAGGTAAGGGGGCATCCCTGAGAAAGTCTCTGAACAGAGCATTCCCCAGCAAGACCCCTCCCAGACCTTAATCAAGGCAGAACAGATAGTCCCAGAAATAGGTTGCAGATAGTCTTCAAGGGCTGCCCCTTGTTTACCAAGTTTCAGTAATCCAGATGCAACGTTAGAAGGTATGAGCTACCTTCTTGATCCAAGGATGCCTGGTACTGGCACACAAGATGAAATTACACAAAGGGTCTCTTGGCTGTGGCTTCCAATTGCTGTTTTGTAAGAGCCTTAAGGGCAGAAGGACCCCTAGGTCAGTATTTCTCAATCTTGACAATTTTAAGGCATGTGGACTTCAACTCCCAGAATTCCACAGCCAGCATTGCTGGCTGTGGAATTCTGGGAGTTGAAGTCCACATGCCTTAAAATTGTCAAGGTTGAGAAACACTGCCCTAGGTTGTAGGTCAGCTCTACTTGGGGAAGAACTATGCCCTCCAGAATAATTGCTCCCTCTTTGAGGGAGATGGACAATTCAAAAATGTGTTTAGATGACAGATAGACAGATAGATAGATCTGTCTGTCTGTCTGTCTGTCTGTCTATCTATCTATCTATCTATGTTGTTGTTGTTAGTTGCGAAGTCATGTCCGACCCATCGTGACCCCATGGACAACGTTCCTCCAGGCCTTCTTGTCCTCTACCATCTTCTGGAGTCCATTTAAGCTCACGCCTGCTGCTTCAGGGACTCCATCCAGCCACCTCATTCTCTGTCGTCCCCTTCTTCTATTGCCCTCAATCTTTCCCAGCATTAGGCTCTTCTCCACTGAGTCCTTCCTTCTCATTAGATGGCCAAAGTACTTGAGTTTCACTTCAAGATCTGGCCTTCTAAAGAGCAGTCGGGGTTGATCTCCTCCAGGACTAACCGATTTGATCGCCTTGCAGTCCAGGGGACTCGCAGGAGTCTTCTCCAGCACCATAGTTCAAAGGCCTCAATTCTTTGGCGCTCAGCCTTTCTTATGGTCCAACTTTCACAGCCATACATTGCAACTGGGAAAACCATGGCCTTGACTATATGTACTTTTGTTGGCAGGGTGATGTCTCTGTTTTTTAGTATGCTGTCTAGATTTGCCATAGCTTTCCTCCCCAGGAGCAAGCGTCTTTTAATTTCTTGGCTGCAGTCCCCATCTGTGGTGATCTTGGAGCCCAGGAAGATAAAATCTGTCACTACCTCCATTTCCTCCCCATCTATTTGCCAGGAATTGAGACTATGAACTCAACTAGCTTCTGCATCCATAATTACCTGGTAGAATTCAGTCTAAGTCTGTTTCTCCCCATCCAGATCTCCATGCAATGGATGGAGTTATATAAACAGGTATCATTAGCAGAAAGAGAGAGGTGGAAGCTGGGTAAAGTTAAGTCATTATTAAAGTGTTAAAAAAATGCAAGTGTCTTTCTGAGAGTAGACACAGTTTGATAGAAAAAGAAAAAACAAATCCAGAAAAATGTAAAGGGTATAATATTCATATTTACCAAGGCAATCAAACACGTGGTGATCAGGAATTCCATGCAAGTAAGTGAACAGACTGGAGGGAAGGGGACATCTGAACTCCTTCTGCCAACCTGCTTGGCTTCTGTATGAGCAAATCCCAGAGGGACAAATGTTTCCTCTCCTACAGCCAGCACAGAAATATGGCGGGCACCTCGACTCCATTAATCCACATAGTACAGAAGAGAGCAAAACAATATAAAACAAAACAAACCCAGAAATCTAACCTGCTAATAGCTTATTTTTTTTTCCATAGTGGATGCAAAGAAAGAGTCTATTCCTAACCAGGGGTAGGCAACCTTGGCTCTTTTATGACTCGTGGACTTCAACTCCCAGAATTCCTGAGCCAGCCATGCTGAGGGGAAAGGGAGAGGTTTTCAAGCTGATCCATGCTAACTCAGGAATTCTGGGAGTTGAAGTCCACGGGTCATAAAAGAACCAAGGTTGCCTACCCCTGCCCTAAACCTTGATGTCCTGCATAGAAATACAGGCTGATAATATTTGGCAGGCTGATTTCCAGGGCAGAAGTGACATCAACAAAAAGCTACATACTAACCTGACAGATAGATAATGGCTGCATCGTACCAAAATGTGCATGCAGTGGATTGACACAATTCCAATGAAGAGAAGACTGATTGGTCCAAGCTGCATGGAAGAAGGAACAAAGATAGTAACCAATTTACAAAGAGTAATATGCCTCCCCTTTCTGCAGGGATGAGCAGAAAACAGATCACGGTCTCCTGAAAAATTTGCGGAGTATCAGGAAGAATATCCGACTCTCAATGCTTTTGTCATCTCTGCTAGACTCCTAAAAACACATAATGGTCTACCCTCCGTGAAACAAATAAACTGGTATTCTGATTTCACATAATAGCCTGGTTCACAGAATATAGAGAGATCCTGGTTGGGTTCTCACAGTATGCTGAATCTCCCACTCATTCATTTCTCAAGTAGCCTCATGGGTTGTGCGAACCCAGCCATTTTGTGGCAGGCCTCAGCAGCCAACTCTCAACAGCTTATTCTCCTCCATAGCTAGGACCTGCCTAACACTTACCAGAATGCCTGCATTTTTTATTGCAAGAGGGAGGCCCAGAAGACCCGTGCCAATGTTTCCTTTAAGGATGTGAGTGAGCGTCTGAACAAATCTGAAAATGGAAAGAAAAACAAAATATCAGTGCAGGGGTGTGTGTATGTGAATCGTCTAGTCCAGTGTTTCCCAAACTTGACAACTTTAAGGCATGTGGACTTCAACTCCCAGAATTCCACAGCCAGCATTGCTGGCTGTGGAATTCTGGGAGTTGAAGTTCACATGCCTTAAAATTGTCAAGGTTGGGAAACACTAGTCTAGTCTTATTAAAGTCTGGAAAGGGCTGAGAGGTTATTGTAAATATGTGGGAATAGAGTACATACGTAATGCCCTCCTGATCAAGCTGATATTTCTTCTCTGCTGGCAGTAAATCTGTTTCATTCTCATATTCATCGTCTGAACTTTGATCTTCTATTAAAGGCTTCATTACTTCCAGGTCTACTTTGAAACACAACATTCAGAATTACTGAATATGGTACCTAAGAATATCTTCAGATCTCCATAGGTTTTCTTATTAGAACATTAATATAAGTCATCATTATAAAATCATTCTAATGTTATAAAGTCCACGCACTTCCCTGGTTAACTCTGCTTTGAAGTGCTGTTTCCTAATCAAGTTTAATTCCTTTTGTAGGAGTGCTGCAGAGTTTCCTCTTTATGTTCCCCTAAAGCCAACGAAGCAGTTGATTTCGGTTCATAGAGGAACAGATGAAGTGGGAAATTTCTAGCATTTGCAGGATTTACAACCAGAATCCAAGTGATTGAGATTCCCTAAATGTTAAAAGGTAGTTTAAGGAATAGTAATATAATTCCTTATGGAGGAATACAGTTTAGGCTTGGGGATGGGTTGTTTATCCTTTGAATCAGCCTTGATTCCAGGGAACTGTGGGAAAATGACTCCCACAGTTTTCTTGGCAATATTTTCAGAAATGGTTTGCCATTGCCTGATTCCTAGGGCTGAGACAGACTGACTGGTTGAAGATCACCTAACTGGCTTTGTGCCTAAGGCAGAACTAGAACTCACAGTGTCCCAGTTTTAGCCTGGTGCCCTTACCCATTATACCAAATTAGCCATAAGGAAAGATTTAGCCAGAATTATTTGTCAGGATTTGCACATCCGGGAAATACAGAGAGTCCTTGACTTACAACTGGCTGCTTAACAACTGTTCAAAGTTATGACGGACTTTCCCAGGGGTATTTATAACCTGGTTCTGGAGTTCTGATGGCCAATCCCTCCTCCTGGTCACATGACCACATTTAGGCACTGGGCAATCCATCCACATTTACAGACATTTACAGATCATTTGTCACATGATTACAATTTACAGCATTTTGGCTGAAAACTACCATTTACTTCCGGTTTTCAGCAAAAAGTGAACAATGGGTTCATTTAACAACTGTGGTGTTCACTTAATAACCACTGCAAAAAAGGTAGCAAAATTGGGTCATTCACGTGGGTGACCCGCTTCATGACTTAGGACCATAATGGGCATAAATCAAGGACTATCTGTATTAATTATTTTACACCCAGTATAATCAAAACAGATTCTCAGCAGTTTATAGAACAGCAACACAAAACAAAGCATATGAATTGAAGCAGCCGCAACTAAAAAATAGCACAATCAATAATACCAAAAAATCAATAATCACAATCAATCCTGAGGATGCCATCATCCACCCGAACCCTCCAAATTAGCTCCTTTTCTCATTTCCAGCAAGCTTATTCCATAACATAGCTGCTGCCATTCAAAAAGAAGCATGTAACTGATGAAAATGCAGAATCACTTTACTTTTAAACTTATTTTGCAGATGGTAATTCTTTACAAAGATCCAAGTAGCGGGAAAGGGGTGGGAAATCAATTATATGAGCCTGTCTCCACCTCTTTAGGCATCTTCACTTATGGTATAGGAAAGAGGGAGAAACATCCATGGATTATATATGTGTATTTTTTAAAATCAAAGATTCCCTCCAAAACCAGATACAGAAGATAATTTATTAATGCAAGAGAAATACAAGCATTCCAAGCAATATAATCACATCAGAAGCAATTAAAAGCAAAACTTTTTCCCCCCAAACAAAAATATTATATATGCTTTTAATTCATACAGGTAGTCCTTGCTTAGTGACTACAACTGGGACCGGCAATTGCATCACTAAACATAGTCAAAAAGTGAGATATCACATAATGATGTTGGACTTAAGACCTCATGTCTGCTGCGGTTATTAAGCAAGTCACCTGCAGTCATTAAGAAAGACATCGCGTGACTGCAACTTGTGATTTTACTGCCAGTTTCTCCGTTTGCTTGTGGGAAGCCAGCTGTGAAGTGCAAAAATGGTGGGAACGTGGGAAGCCAAGATCTTCATGAAACCCCACCAGATGCAAAGCGCCCAAAAGTTGATCATGTGACATGTTAAGTGCAAGGAATGAGCACAACTTTCATCTTTCCGGCACTGTCATAATTTCAAATGGTTGCTAAGCAGAGCAGCCATTAAGCGAGGACTAGCTGTATTCTTAGGGGATAAAAAAACTCCAGAAACAGCATCATCTAAGGGAGAAGGAGGGTCAAAGTAACAAAAGTAGCATGTCCATATGTTGCAAGCCCCACCCCTTTCCTAGTATGTGCTTTGCCACAACACATACATGTCCCAGGGCCAGAGTTTGCACTGTGGCAAGACAATACTCCATCATTCTGTGGATCTCCTGACCATGCAAACGTGGCATTCTAAATATTAATTCATATTAGATGAATGGAATGATAGCCTCACTATCTGCCTGCAACGACATGTAGTCCTTGACTTACAACGGTTCGTTTAGTGACCGTTCGAAGTTACAATGGCACTGAAAAAAGTGACATACGACTGTTTTTCACACTTACAACCATTGCAGCGTCCCCATGGTCACATGATTAAAAATCAAACACTTCGCAACTGACTCATGTTTCTGACAGTTGCAATGTCCCCCTCTGCTACATCCTGACAAGCAAAATCAGTGGGGAATCTTGATTCACTTAGCAACCATGTCACTAACTTCACAGCTACACTGATTCACTTAACAACTGTGACAAGAAAGGTCGTAAAATGGGGCAAAATTCACTTAACAACTGCCTCAGCAGCAGACATTTTGGGCTCAATTGTGATCGTAAGATGAGGACTACCTGTATTCAGGGCTTCAACATAAATAATCGTGACCTATATAGTTGCAGGTTTAAAAAAATATAAATATTTTCCCATATTCTTCACAATTTTTAAAGAATAGGAATCTACTGATGGATCTGGTTAGACTGCTTTATGGCAGGATATCTGCTCTGAATCTGTTTCAGTAATTATCAACAATTTACCTCAAGGACAATCTATAAGCAAAACAGTTCACTAAAATAAAATGGTCGCTTGTCACATTTTTAGAATCTGTTGGGGAGAGATTTAGTATATACTTTTATATATATTAACTTCTTTGGAGATAATGCCCATTTAAAAAAGTAAAGTCTCCCTCAAGTGAGATTCAATTCTTAATAGCTTATGGACATTTCCATGTAATTTTATTTTTAAAAAATCCCCATTAGCTTTGTAATCTTGGACAGAAATATTGAAAAGTGATGTATAAAATGTTCATATTTGTGCATCTATATCCCAGTTAGCATCTAGCTTTTTTGTTAAAAAAAAGCTTTTTGTTTTGCCTTGTTTGTTTCTCTTTTAATTCATTATTTTTACTATTAGCTTTTAGTTCTTTTTCTTTCACTCTGCAAAAAATCTTGATTAAAAAACTTATTTTAAAAAGCTTGAGTTGTTGCCCAACTTCTTAACCTCACAAAGTAATGACTATAACCTTGAGGAACCTGGGGCCTTTATATAAGAACCTTATTTTGTATTTCTTTCAGATATTTGATTGTTTAGAACAGTGGTTCTCAACCTGTGGGTCGGGACCCCATTTGGGGTCGAACGACCATTTCACGGGGGTCGCCAAACAAGGCTGTCCACCATTTTTTCCCCCTTTTCTTTGGCCACGCCCCTGGCACCCAGTGATGTATAAGTGGTTGGGGGTCACCACAACATGGGGAACTGTATTATGGGGTCGCGGCATTAGAAAGGTTGAGAACCACTGGTTTAGAATTAAGAAAGAAAATCATCCTAAATGAAAAGATTGGTAGACGCTCCTAATTAGCAATGTGCAAAAGATTATGAGTGGAATCTGAAACATCTCACTTTGAGAATGTAAACCACTTGAGTAGGAAAGAGGTTTCAAGAATGAAACCTCTATGTTCAAAACACCGTTTCCATCCAAAGCAGAGTTTCACACTATAGAAAGTCCTCGACTTACATCTACAATTGAGCCCAAAATTTCCATTGTTAAGAGAGACATTTATTAAGTGAGTTTTGCCCCATTTTATGACCTTTCTTGCCTCAGTTGTTAAGTGAACCGCTTTAATTGTTCAGTTAGTAACACCAGCTGCTAAAAGAACCTGGCTTCCCCAATGAATTTGTAAGGTCACAAAAGGGGATCACATGACCTTAGGACACTGCAACTGTCATATGAGCCAGTTGCCAAGGGTCTGAATTTTGATCACGTGACCCTCTCTTTTAAACCCCCTATGGATGCTGGTGCCAATGTCTCCTTCAGATCTCTATTTTCCCAGATTAACTCCCCAAAATTTAAATTAATATAGCATACAGAAGTTGACCTCCCTGTTTTCCTCGCCCCACACCATCCTTGGATGAGTTAATTTCATGGCTACCTATCTACACTTATCACAAAGGCTGGGTTGAGTATTTCTGTTCAGCACCTCTGAAGGTCACGTGGACATAAGGAGAGCGTGGACATAAGGTCTCCTCGCCATAAGGAGAACCCAGAGCCCTACAATAGGAACTGGTCATACAGGGCCTGCTTCTATGGTTACCAGCTCTGAATGCAAAAAGTCCTCACCCACTCTAGACAGGGGGCGGGGCTTGATGGAACATGGCAGACAAGGGGGTGGAGCTTGATGGAATCTTCAGGTTACTGGCCACAATCCTGAAAGGAGAGTTTTATTGG